CCCTTTTTAGACATATGGGTCCCTCGGGGGGTGTTGGAGTCCACGCCCCGTGTTGGCTCTCCGGTGCCCACCCCACGCGTGGGGACCCCATGGAGCTAGAGGCGGAATTGGGGGCGCGAACCCCACGCTGGGCTCAGTGTCGGGTATCTGATCTGTGTGCCCCCGATCTCAGCCCGTTTCGTCTTTCTTGGCTGAGCGACCCACGTTCGGTGAAGGCCATCATGGACGCAAGCCCAGGTATGAGGGGGGATCGGGTGCTCCTGAGGCCCATCTGCGAGTTGGACCCGACACTATTTGGCGATGCAGCTGCTTCTGACTATGGTGGGCCTGACAGATGGGACGTTATGGCACTCGAGTTTGTCGGGCATGGCAATGCGCATGGTCCCAACCCACCGGTGATGCCTCTGAATCTGCTGTTCGACGACGTGCTGCGCTCTGGGGGGCGACGCTAGCTAGGCGCGACCCGCCCCCCTCCCCCGGGCTCTATCGCTAGCGCACACGGCATGTCATAGCTGGTTGCCAGTCAGCCGCGGGAGGAGCCCACCGCGACCCTGCCTGACTTCATCAGCTCCCTCCAACTCCCACTGCTGGAGCCTCTTGCGAACTCCACCCCAATCCGCTGCATCTCCCGCCGGGCCAGCCCCACGGTCCCGCAGTGGAGCGTCCGCCTCACGTCCCTCACACACTGCCGGGACCTGAAGCCAGAGGTCCAGGTGAAGCGGGTGTTGTTGAGAAAATGGAGGCCTACGGTGGACCCGCCATCGCCTGAGGTGCTAGATAACTCATACTCCAAGAGGTTCCGCCAAGCCTTCAGAGAACCGCTGACTGCCTCCAAACAGTTGGCCATGTGGGAGCTGTACCCGGGGCATCGTCGGCGACGGTCCGCAGTGTCGGCCTCTGAGGTCTAGACCCGAGGTCTCCCTAGTCACGCATTGTTCTTTATGAGTGGAGAATAATTTCTTATTTGGAACGCCCGTGGCCTCAATAGCCGGGCTCGTCGCACTACTGTTAGAGATGTCATTGTCTTGGAGCATGTCTCCGTGGTCTATCTCCAGGGAACTAAGGTGGCTGTATTCTTTGTAAACATGATCAATGAACTACTAGGTCTGGATTTCGACTGCTCCTGTTTGCCTTCGGTGGGGGTCTCCGGGGGTGTTCTGGTCGGATGGCGCAGGGACAAATGGCAGACCTCGCAGGTTGCTTTTGGCATATTCTCTGTCATGTTGCGCTCCGCTACGGTGGGTCAGAATGGCGATGATGGTTGCTGGCTCATAGTTGTGTACGGGCCAACAGATCACGCCCTCAAGGAGGGATTCCTTTCAGAGCTCGAGGGTCTGGCCGCAACCTACACTGGGCCATGGCTTATCTATGGCAATTTCATCCTAATCTACCAGGCGCAAAGACAAGAACAATGCTAGATTGAACCGTCGTCTCATGCAGCGCTTCCGGCGGACAATTGATGCGTTACAGCTCGCCGAGCTGCACCTATATGACCGCCTCTACACATGGAGTAATGAATGGACCAGGCCGACGCTGGAGCGCATGGACTAGGTATTCACCATGGTGCCATGGCTAGAGAGTCACCCATTCCACCACTTGCGTTGTCGCTCCACCGATTGCTCCGACCACGCGCTGCTGCTGCTCGTGTTGTGCACGGAGCCTTGGGCGTTGCCCTGGTTCCACTTTGAGACCTTCTGGCCATCTGTCCAAGGCTTTGCCGAGGTGGTCGCGGGCGCCTGGACCTGCCCACCCAGGCTTGACGCCTGTAGGACCATCGACTACAAGCTACGCACAGAGGATCAGGAGTGTACGGTTTCAGTTGGCTGCGGCTCGGGTTATCATTTTCGAACTCGACGTCGCACAGGAGACCAGACAGCTCTCGTCGGAGGAGCTCGACCAGCGCCGTGATCTCAAGGAAGCCACGCTAGGCCTATCATCGCTATCCAGGACCATCGCGCGACAGCGGGCGCGGCACCGCTACCTGAAGGATGGGGACGCGAACACCAAATTCTTCCATCTCCAAGCCTGCCATCGAAAGTGGAAGAACTATATTCCCACGTTGGTGCATGAGGGCCACACCTTCACCTCTGAGGAGGCTAAGTCTAAGGCGGTGTTCGACTATTACAACGTCCTTCTAGGTAATGCAGCGTTTTTGTCATGATCATCGGATCGACCTAGAACGCCTCAACCTACCAAGACTCGACTTACAAAGTGTTGGTGAACCATTCTCGGAGGCCGAGGTCACCCAGATCGCCCTAGAGTCCCCACCCGAACCGCGCGCTGGCGGATGGGTTCACCGGTAGATTCTATCGGGTACGCATGGGCTGTCATCAAGGATGATATTTGCAATGCGTTTAAGCGCCTTTAGCGGCGGGACTAGAGGAGCTTCTACCTCCTCAATAGCGTGTCTATGGTTCTCACCGAGGAAGAACGACGCTACCGAATGGATTGAGGGACTACTGGCCCATTAGCACGATCCATAGCTTCGCAAGTCGGTGTCCAAGGGCCTAGCGCTGCGCCTAGCTCCGTTTATGGGCTCATTGGTGCAGCCAAACCAGATTTGCGTTCATCAAGGGAGGCAGATCCACGATAACTTCTTCCACTGTGCAACTCTCATCGCCATTGGTCGCATGTTAAGCACCACTCCTGCATCTTGCTAAAAGTTGATATTGCCAAGGCATTTGACTCTGTGGCCTGGCCTTTCCTCTTGGAGGTCTTGGAGCATATGGGTTTCCCATAGTCTTGGGGGGACTGGACAACAATGATTTTTATATCGGCAAGCACGAAGGTGTTTCATCAACGGCCTCCTCGGCCGGAGGATCATCATGCACGGGGCTTGCGCGTCAGGCGACCCACTTTTCCCGTTCATGTTTGTGCTCATTATGGAGGTACTCAACGCCATGGTTGCAGAGGCAGACTAGCGGGGTTTGCTATCCCCCCTACCCGGGAGCCACTTTGGCCAGCGTATGTCGCTCTATGCGGATGACTTGGTGCTGCTCCTAGCCTCTACACTGGAGGACTTCCGTTGCATCCGCGCCATCCTCTACCTCTTCGTGGGCGCATTTGGCCTGATCACAAACTTGGATAAGTGTCTCATCTCACCGATTCGGTGCTCCGAGGAGGACATCGCACTCGTTCAGCAGGTGTTCCCCTGCCAACTTTCGCCCCTACCACCGCTATACGGGCGCCCCTCTCTCGTTGGGAGGTCATGGGCGCGCTGGATGAGCGAAGCTAGTGGACGCCATCGCCACCCGTATCCCTACCTAGAAGGGCAAGCTGCTTTGAATGTGGCGGGAAGGACGGTTGACCAGCGCCACACTATCGCCATACTGGGTGCGTGTCCATCACGTGCTCCCTTTCAGCGTGGGCAATCAAAGCGATCGACAGCGCCGGCGTGCCTTCCTTTGGAGCGGCACTGACGCGGTCGCTGGTGGAAGCTGCAAGGTGGCTTGGCCGGTGGTGTGTACCCCCAAATGCTATGGTGGGTTGGGGGTCCCGGACCTTCGAATTCTCGGGTTTGCACTCAGACTGAGATGGGAGTGGCAGAAGAGAGAGCTCGGTGCACCGGCCTGGACGCAATTGCCCTCTAAGCCTGAGAGGTTGGTGGACGCCATGTTCAGTTGCTCGGTACGTGTTGAGCTGGGGGACGAGGTCTCAGCTCGCTTCTGGATAGATGCGTGGTTGCCGGTTGGACAGATCAAGGCTTTTGCCCTGCACCTGTTCCGGGCCGTGAGCAAACATCTTCCAGCACAGATGGGTGTGCCACATCTCTGGAGCTCACACTGCACCAGTGCTGTATGAGTACCTGGACCTTTGGGAGAAACTCGAGTCCGTTCAGCTCAGGCCGCTCGTGGGTGGCCGCTTCGTATGGCGCTGGACTCCGGACGACGTCTATTCGGCTTCGTCGTCCTACCGATCGTTCTTCCTCGGCATATCGTCCCTCTTGGGCGCCAGGGAGGTATGGAAGGCCTCGGCGCCACCGAAGGTGAAATTCTTTTTCTGGCTCGCGCTCCATCGGCGCATTTGGACGGCGGATCGCAGGAAGAGGCATGGGCTTTAGGATTCCGCGCAGTGCGTCCTCTGTGGCCAGGAGGACGAGACAGTGGACCATCTGCTCGCTTCCTACGTTTTCACAAGGGAACTCTGGTTTCGCTTGCTTCACCCTAGCGGTTGGGAGCAGTTGTCGCCTTCTGCTCACTCTCCTCTGTCGACCTGGTGGATGGATGGCCGGTATTATGTGCCTACGCAGCTTCGAAGGGGATTCAATTCCACCGTCCTCCTGGTCTCATGGTGGGTGGCTCTGGAAGGAGCGTAATTCACGTACCTTTGACAACTCCGCGTCCACGGTCCAGCAGGTTGCGAAGCTGGTGTTGGAGGAGACCGACGAGTGGATCGCCGTCAGGTTCGTGGCGATCGCTGAGTTCTTGGTCGTTTCTTCTGTTGTCTAGTGTTTTTGTCGCTCGTCGCACTGTGCTTTTGAGATGTAATCCGCTATGCCTGTGTCTGTCCGGTTGCTCGTTTCGGTAAGACTGTGAACTTTCCTATCCTGGCAGCTCGTCGGAATAGCTGTTGTTTGTTTTGTTTACCCTTCTTAATGAAATACAAGAGAAGTCGTGTTCTAGAAAAAAAAAAATCTCCCAGCTAGGCGATCCCAGGTTCTCTTGTGGTCTTGGTACTCATTCTGGTCCTAACGATTGGATGGCCTGTATTGCCTGCTCTCTATCCTTTTGGTAGTTATTGTAACGCACACCATCGCGCCCCTGGAAACCATCACGAGAATGGCCCTGATACCCGCCTCTTGGATCTCGCCCTTCTTGAAAACTTTCTCTGTTTTGACGGTCTGAGCCTTAAAAACCACCTCTAGCTTCACGATTGTCATGGTAACCCTCCTTGCCCTGGCGATCTGAACCTTGGAAACCCTCTCTGCCTTGGCCTCTCTCTCTGTACTTATCTCCATCTCTAATCTCCCTGCCTTGGAACTGTTTCTTCTCAATCTTACTCTATGCTACCTCAACATACGATCTACCGTCAGTCGTTCGAGGGTGAATGCAACGCAAATGCTTAGCCTGAGCTCCAAACTTGTGAACGTCACTACCAGATGCTGGGTGACGCTCCGCCAGCGGGTCCCAAACCCTAGCGGCGGGGATCCAGTACCAGCGAGAAGTGGATTTGGGGCGAGCGGAAGTAGTGTCTGATCTCTGTATCTTTGGGGTAAAGGAGTGAGACAACAGGTCATCAATAGACAGGCCCCCTTGTTGGGCTGGCCCAATAACTGCTTTCCCTTTTTCGGCCCTTGTAGCCCATGATGCACTGTCCATCTCCTCGTCCCCTTCGAACTGAGCTTTGTTGCCGTCAATGGCGGCACCGAACTCTCCAAATTTAACTCTGACAATTTCGAAGATCCCATTACTGACATCTCCTGTTCTTTGCTATTCCACATGAATTTGATCGGCAAATCCCCTACCATTATCGAATTGGAACCAATCGCAGCAATAGGCGGAGGTCTCTGATTATGCAAACGATCATGTCTGGTATCTTCCGCCGGCTGAGAATGTTTTGGTAAACCGAACGAGACCGTCGGCCTCCCCTGACCAGGTGTGAGTGGGGGAAACTTATCAATGTTGAGCCATTCTTCTAAGTTCAGCTCCTCCCGCTCATGGTCAATTCTGCTGATATTCGTCGAAATTGATTTTGTACCAATCTGGGGGCTCTGCTTCGACGAATTCGACCTCGACTTGTTCAATTGGTTGCCCGAGAACTCTAAGTCACCTTGGGGTATTGAGAATGGAGGCACCGCCAGCGTGAGCCGCCGGTTCCCCATCTGCACACCTCGAACAGAGCAAACGCGAGCACCACAGGGAAAATCGAGGCTGACACCCGAACACGAACTCTAAGATCAAATCCGGAACAAACTCTTGAGGAATCCGAGCGCTCAGAGACAAAAAACGTCGGGAGGTTTCCCCGTTCTTTCCAGAACCGAGAGAGTCAAACTCTCGCGTAGATGGGAGAGACGAGGAGATACCTGGATAGATCGACGCGGCGTCAAATCCCGATTCGGATCTCCTACTTTTCGTCGGTGAAGGTCGGCGGAATCGACGCCGGCGAACGCCGGAGTCGGAGCGCTGCTTTTCCGCCTCTCAGAGCCAAGTATACGTTGTGTGCCTCATGATGATACCTGTCACGTTGATGCCTCTTTCCATGCTGAGGACAGCACAGCTGCTTCTGGTGTGGCTCTACGTGATCCCCAACAAGTCAAAATTGAGGGGGGTTAAATCGCCAAACATCAAAATCCTACTCAATCCCCTCCAATCTCCCTCAATCCTCATGGCTCGGTACTTTGACAGATGTGATAATCAAAGGGACAGGCAGTAATGGCGATCCACGCCCAGAACTCTTAAGCACCGAGGGGTCATCCGACGGGCTAACAATCATCCTCGCGGTAGTGATGGGTAGCCGATTAAACGATTATTCAGCTGCACGCGACTAATAACGAACTAAAAATGGTATATTTCACCGTAGCGGAAAAAACAGAAAAATACCATTTTTAACTCTCCTATATTCGTTAAACTCAGCGAGAGTGCTGTCCATACTGAGTACTACAAGGAGGATCCCAACAAAACTACACAACTCACCTCGGTGCTTATCAGTTATACTTTTACAAGTTTACAACAACAGATTCTGGGAGGAACGAAGGGAAAGAGCATCCCACAAAAGTCTCCCAGCAAGCATGCATCCCTACCCGTTTGCACTTGCTGCCTCCTGCTCGTCGCTGTCTGCACATCCTTAGGAATGTGGAAGCCCTCGATCTTGCGTGCGACATCATTTACCCCGACCTTTGCCTTCCCGTTTGCACTTGCTGCCTCCTGCTCGTCGCTGTTAGCTGGACCCAACTGCCAGATTCGGATGGTTCCATCTTCGGATCCTGATGCATAAGATTCACCGACAGGAGTAAACCGTACGCAGTGGACCGGACCATGGTGCCCCTTGTTACATGCTGTTTAGCAGAAAGCAACATAGCCACAAGTTCAGTGAGGATAGTCAATTGCATAGTTTTTTGGATAATAACTTACAATAACAACAGCAATGGAATGAATATTCAACTGTCATGTAATGAAAACAGAATGTTCAGCTTCTATAACATCTCTGAGCTACTTCAAATGAATGCTAATAACGGTTTGAAAAACAAAAGAACGCTAATAAAAAGATTGCTTGGAATGATCCCATAAGAAACAGAACACTTATGTCGACAAGCAACATTTGTTTAACCACAGCTGTGAACCAGGCGGCAGCGGAAACAAACTTATATAATACCAGAAACAACTTTAAAGAAATGGTACCATAAACAGACTTCGGGAGTTCAGGTCTACAAGCAACTGGCACTTATTAAAAAAGAGAGGACCAAAGCAAATAAACAAGCAGAATATCAGCTACACTTTTGAATAAAGGGCCTACTGCATGGGCCAAGACCTGTCTCCCTCGAGAACTCGGTGGACTAGGCATCTCTAATCTCCAAAACCTTGGTTGGGCTCTCAAAATGCGCTGGCTGTGGTTACAAAAAATTGACCCCAGTCGGCCACGATTGAAGTTTCCTATTCAAGTTCATCACTATGTCCATGCTTTCTTCTTTATGGCAGTAACAACCAAGGTGGGAGATGGGGTAAAAACTTTATTTTGGACCGATAGATGGATTCATGGCCAGAGGATAGCCAATCTTGCTCCTCGTGTGTTTAGATTGGCTCCCAAAAGGACAGTGCTTGAGGCCCTTACTGGTCAGGCTAGGATTTCTGATATCCAAGGTGCATTGACTGTAATTGTGATTTCTGAATGTATACTGCTTTGGGATCTTCTTTCTGAGGTGGCCCTGCAACCTGGTGCGGAGGACTCAAATTTTCACATTTCTCGGCTAATGGTCAGTACTCCACTAAACTAAGACAGCATACGAGGGTCTCTTCCGTGGGAAATGATTTGGAGATACTGGGCCTGGGCAAATCCCGCTTCATTTTGTGGCTCGTTGCCCACGGTAGATGTTGGACTGCTGTTCGTCTTGCACACGAGACCTTCCGAATCCAGCCCAATGCCCTCATTGTGATCAAGATGAAGAGACGATCAACCACCTCTTGTCCTGTGTGCTTTCCTGGGAATTTTGGCTCAAGATTTTGCAAATGGTCGGCTATCGATCCTTGCTCCGCAAGCCGCGGAGTTCTCTCTTGTTGATAGGTGGGAAAAATCTGTTGTTGGAGTTGATAACCTGATTCGGAAGGGACTTAACTCCCTCATCATTCTAGGGGTTGATAACCTGATTCAGAAGGGACTTAACTCCCTCATCATTCTAGGGGCCTGGACCTTGTGGAACCACCGCACCCGTTGTGTGTTTAATGGGGTTTCTCCTAGCATAGATACAGCACTTCAGCTTGCTTGTGAAGAGCTACAGCTGTGGGGTCTGGAGGCCTTTCCTACCTCCTTGTCCTTGAGCCAGATGTAAGTTCAATCTTAGGCCGAGGTCATGTACTTTAAAGGTGTGCATGGAGAATTGGGACAGTGTGGTTATGTGTTGTTAGTGTTCTTAACCCCCTTTATTTCTTCTTCTTAATATAATGATACGCAGCCCTGGCGTGTGTTTGAGAAAAAAATAATTTGAATAACAGACTAAGCGAAGAAGTAAAGATTCGTCAAGAATATTCTGAAACAAGTTGCAGGTATGATGACAACGAACTATAGACAAAACCTTGAAACAGAGAGACTGAGAGACTTACCTAATTCTTCTCCAGTGAAGAAATCGAAGACACGAACCCACATGTCTTCTCCACCAGTGACAAATTTATTCCCACACTTCGGTTCAAGAGAAGCTGATTCCACTGCGCATGGCATATTATAGCTCTTAACAAGTCCAAAGCTGCAGAAAAACAAGATATATTCTGTAAGCAACAAAGCCAACACATCTCTCGGCATTGTTAAAGTAAGGTACAGAAATGTCTTACTGATTTGCATCCCAAAACTTCACGCTTGAGCCATCAGTTGTCGTGATAAACCGACCATCTTGGCTTACTTCTGCGCTGGTGACAGGTGATTTGGTTTCAAGTGTTTGGACAATTTTCCCACTCCTTACATCCCATAACCTGTCAATACATCCCATAACCTGTCAAGAGGTGGTACCAATCAAGGAGAACAAAAAAAATACATATCTTAAATTTAACAGACTAAGCGATCTGGGCCATGTCGTGATCTGGGCACAGTGTCAAGTGAGCACGGATCGGGTTGTCGCATCCTTAGTGGCGTGCCACATCGACGCCGGGTGTGGTGCAAAATGAGCAATGGTCTTCACACCTACCTCGGCGGGTGCGAAGGGTAAGAAAGCTAGTCGAGCCAACTACGATCCGTTTAGGTAGCTGGAATGTATGGTCCCTTACGGGTAAGTTAAGAGAGTTAGTGGACACAACGGTTAGGAGGCGTGTAAATATCTTATGCGTCCAAGAGACTAAATGGAAGGGGCAGAAGGCGAAGGAGGTGGACAATACCGGCTTCAAGCTCTGGTACACAGGAACAACTTCAAATAAAAATGGAGTAGGAATTTTGATTGATAAGAGCCTCAAGAATGGTGTGGTAGAGGTGAGAAGGCAAGGGGATAGGATCATCTTAGTTAAACTTGTCATTAGTGATATGGTCTTAAACGCAATTAGTGCGTATGCCCCCAAGTAGGCCATGATGAGAGTGCTAAGCGGTTTTTCTGGGAAGACTTAGATCGCTTGGTTAGAGCTGTCCCTAGTAGCGAGAAGCTCTTTATAGGAGGTGACCTTAATGGCCATGTAGATACATCACGTGCAGGTTTCGAGGCGGTTCTTGGGGGTTTCGGATATAGTAGTAGGAACCAGGAGGGAGAGGAAATCTTAGACTTCGCCATAGCTTTTGATCTGATGATAGCTAACAATTTCTTTCGTAAGAGACAGTCTCATTTAGTGACCTTTAGTAGCGGCCAGTACTCTAGTCAAATCGACTTTATCCTTACAAGAAGGAGGGATAAACGAACATGCGTGGACTGTAAGATGATACCTGGAGAATGTGTGGTCGCTCAACACAAGTTGGTGGTGGCTGACTTCCGCTTTCTGGTGCAAGCTCGTGGGAACAAACGAGCTAGGGTTGCTAGTACAAAGTGGTGGAAATTAGAAGGGGAGGCATCAAAGGTTTTTAAGGAAAAGATCATTGAAGATGGCCCTTAGAAGGATGAAGGCGATGAAAACAGCATGTGGGAGAAGATGGCAACATGCGTTCGGAATATTGCTTCAAAGGTGCTTAGAGTGACCAAAGGGAGCGAATGCGACTCGAAAAACACTTGGTGGTGGAATGAAGATGTGCAAAAGGCTATTAAGAAAAAGGAGTGTTGTAAGCGCTTGTATCATGACAGGTGTGCAGACAACATAGAGAAGTACAAGGTGACAAAGAAGACTGCAAAACGAGCGGTGAATGAGGCAAAGGGGCGGGCCTATGAGGACCTTTACCAACGTTTGAGCATGAAGGAAGGAGATAATGACATTTATAAGATGGCTAGGGCTCGCGATAGAAAGATAAGAGACTTCAACCAAGTCAAGTACATAAAGGATGAGAGGGAGCAGCTCTTGGTGAAGGAGGATGAAATCAGACATAGATGGCAAGAGTATTTTCATAAATTGTTCAATTCAGCTGGATGACTCGATTGATGACATTAGCAGGCACTTTGTGCGGAGGATTCAAGAATCGGAGGTCAGAGAAGCCTTGAAAATGATGAAAGAGGGCAAAGCGATGGGCCCTGATGGTATCCCAATCAAGGTGTGGAGATGTCTCGGGGATATAGCTATAGTATGGCTAACCAAGATGTTCAACAATATCTTTCGATCGAACAAGATGCCTGAAGAGTGAAGAAGAAGCATATTGGTACCAATTTACAAGAACAAGGGAGATATCCAAAGTTGTACTAATTATCGGGGAATTAAGTTGATGAGCCACACTATGAAGTTATGTGAGAGAGTCATCGAGCAGCGCCTGCGAAGAACGACGCAGATATCAATAAACCAATTTGGTTTCATGTTCGGAAGGTCAACCATAGAAGCAATCTTCTTAATAAGACAAGTTATGGAGCGGTTTAGAGAGCAGAAGAAGGACCTCCACGTGGTTTTTATTGACTTGAAGACGGCTTATGACAAGATAACAAGAAATGTTATGTGGTGGGCTTTGGATAAACATAAAGTCCCATCAAAGTACATGACCCTCATCAAGGACATGTACAACAATGTTGTGACTAGTGTTCGAACAAACGATGGCAACACAGATTACTTCCCGATTAAAATTAGACTTCATCAAGGGTCAGCCTTAAGCCCGTATCTCTTTGCCTTGGTAATGGATGAGCTTACCAGAAACATACAAGGGGATATCCCTTGGTGTATGTTGTTCGCTGATGATGTAGTGCTAGTGGACGAAAGCTAGGCGGGAGTAAATAGAAAACTAGAATTATGGCAGTAGACCCTTAAGTCTAAAGGTTTTAGATTGAGCAGAACTAAAACCGAATACATGAGATGCGACTTTGGTGGAACTGCACAGGAGGAGGGAGATGTGAGTTTGGAAGGTCAAGTAGTGCCTAAGAAGGATACCTTTCGGTATCTGGGATCGATGCTACAGAGGGATGGAGATATTGATGTGGACGTTAGCCATAGAATCAAAGTAGGGTAGATCAAGTGACAACAAGCTTCTGACATTCTCTGTGACAAGAGGGTACCACAAAAGCTAAAAGGCAAGTTTTATAGAACGGCGATTAGACCGGCTATGTTATATGGAGCAGAATATTGGGCTACAAAGATTCGACATGTTTAACAACTGAGTGTTGCAGAAATGCGTATGTTGCGATGGATTTGTGGTCACACAAGAATGGACCGAGTTCGGAACGATGATATACGTGATTGCCTAGGGGTAGCACCAATTGAAGAAAAGCTTGTCCAACATCGGTTGAGGTGGTTTGGCCATGTCCATAAGAGACCTCCAAAGGCACCAGTGCATTGTGGAGTCATAAGCCAAGCTAATAATATGAGGAGAGGTAGAAAAAGACCGAAATTGATATGGGAGAGGCAATAAAAAGATATTTGAAAGCTTGGGATATACCTAGATATATATGTTTGAATAGGAGTGCTTGGAAAGCAGCTATTGAAGTGCCTGAACCTAAAGTTATTAGGACCGGACCGGAGGTTGAACCGGCAAGGCCGTCGGTTCACTGGTTCACTGGTCCAACCGTTTAGAACCGGTTGAACCGCTGGTTCAATTGTTTTGGACCGGTTAAATCGAACCGGTCACAAATACATTGAACCGGCATATATGTATATGCTATAATTAATAATTGGTAAATTGTAAACAACACAATTTAATTGTACAACCATAAGGTTCATACATATGCAGAGAATAACATGTTCTTAAATTCAAAACATACAAGCTCCACAAGTTTTAGTGCTCCAGAGTTGTTTTATAATATATATATATATATATATATATATATAAACAAATGGAAACATAATACATGGAGCACTTACCAATTAGTGCAAAAAGGACTTGAATAGTAATTCAAATATTCACCATTGCAAAACAATCTTAAATATTAAAATAAAGTGCGCTATTGCGAAGAGCTCGTTGAGATAATCAAAACGGATATTATTTGACTAATTTGGAGTTGGTATGACAAAGATATAAATTTTGAATTTTAAAAGACACTGACGTCAGCGCAGCCAAAATTCAAACGTAGCTCAGCATGCATGCCAACTGTGCAAGCGTGAACCACCACCGGTGGTAATAGCTAGGCAGGGGACAGGCGGGGCCTACCAACAGCAGCTGCAGGCACACGCGCCACCCACGAACCAATCAGCAGCATGCTGCGGTGCTGCTCGCAGATGACCAGCAAGAAACCGTCCGGTCCGCATGGAACCGCCCGGTTCGCCGGTTTCTTAAAAAACCGGCCGGTTCAACCGGTTTTTAGCGGTCTGATTGCATGAACGGTCTTTTAAGTGAACCGAGCCGGTGTATCTGGTTCGGTCTTTTACCGGTCCGACCGCCGGTCCGGTCTGGTCCAAATAACTAGGCCTGAACCGTGACTTGGGGTTCTTGGTGGGTTTCAACTCTAACATATCCCAACTTGCTTGACTGAAAGGCTATGTTGTTGTTGTCGTCGTCGTTGTATCTTAAATTTAACACATGTTTTGACAAGGTACTTGTTAATACATAGTTCAGCTTAACATTATTTTAATTAGAGTTCTTCAAAAAAAAAGTGCAAGGAAGTTTCTAGAAACCTGTAAAGGGCAAATAATCAATCTTATTACCTCATGTGCCTATATCAAAATCACTGGATACACAGATGTATATGTCCATATTGGTATTTGCATTGATATGTACGTTGACACACTTTGGACAGTGACATACTTCAGGTGCAGACTTTGCTACTAAAGAGACACAGTAGAGAGAGATCAAGATATGATCCACTGTAAACTATTTATAAAAATTTTAATACAAAAGCATACTGTGGGGATCTCCCCCACAGTTTTTAGCGTAAAAAAAAAAAGATATGATTTCTAGGAAAATAGAGGAGCTTCAGTGCAAACTTTAATTATTATTTCAAAATTAAATGAATTCGTAAAAGTTGAATTCTCAATTATGTCTTTGTGTTCGCAGTTTAACAGGGCCCAACTCCAAATAACAGCCAACTCTGCCAGGACCTATCAATAACAGTTCAGCATGCTTACTTTGTATACAAAATCAACTTCTACGTAGCAAATTGGCAATACTAATCTGGAGCTACAAATAATGCAGTTAACAGTACATGCAGACCAACCTCACACCACCTAAATCAGTGCAGGAACTTAGTATAGTTTGGTCACTATGAAGCCAAGTGACAGTTCTGACAGAACCAGGTGATTTGTCAATTTCTCTTGGAGTTGCATCTGGGCGGTTCAAATCATATGTACGCAATATCTTCTCAAAACCTCCTGTAAGCAACATGTGGGTATCCTGCAAGAAACATTTGTGTTTTCTATGAGATATAAATCTATGCATGCAGAAAACTCTGAGTTAATGCGGCAAAAAATAAACCGAAGGAAAGAAAACAATTCTGTAGGGAATTAGGGATTCAAAGAAGTTTAAAATGATTTAATGGTTAAATTTCTAGAATTAGTCATAAGAAGGTTATCTTCAAGATGGACATTTCCAAATCCTATTTGATGAGTAAGGTAACTGGGGTTGAGAAAATAAACCTCATACAGAATTTCAGATTAGACTAGCAAGTCATCTTGCTACAGTTCAGATTTCAGAATGTACACAACTGGACAAGTAGCTATACATAATAATGAAACTACATATTCTCCAAGAAATAGAAGAGGCATAATGGATCACCTTGTTAAATTAGAAAATTCCAACCAGAATCACATGAAGGTTGAATAAATAGAGTTAAATGGAAAGGAAAGTGTAGCTTAGAAGATAAGAAAGAATTGAAATTCTACTGTTTCATCATAAACTAATAACTTTCTTAGACAATGCAAGGCTGTGGATCACTTCGAAGTATGATATCAACTAAAGCCACTTAAAAACTTGTGATGATCAGATCAGTGATTGTTTACATCGGTAATTCAGTAGGATGCTAATTTAAGGTCAATTGGTCAATCCAAAAATTGTCATAGAATATTGATAAACTTTTAGGCATAATTATAGTGTTTTTAGACACTTCCTAGACAAAGTTTGCATAAATCATCAATTCTAGCCATCCATGCAACCACACGAAAGCAATGGGTACAGACATTTTTGGCATTATTAATAACCAATATGATAAACAGGTGTTTGAAATTTACAACCCAAAATAATACAAATAATCACCATTACACTCAACCAATAAAAATAAAGGAATGTGTTGCAGGTCACCAGGAAAAAAAGAATTGATCGGAACAAGGTGACAAAAAGGGTAATAAAAGCAGCCAACAGAATTACTTGACTACAGGAGATGAACATGTATGATGCTTCAATATGGACCATAACCTCAGAAAAAGCACATGCACAAGGAGATGGACAGCCACAAGGAGATGGACAGCCACAAGGACCTGCAGCCACCATATGCTGCAGCCAGCCCCACAAAGACCAACCAGCACATGAGACTTATCCATCATTCTCCCCCTAAGTCTTGTACGTCGTCTTGTGGGAAAGTTGAACCATTCCGGTCCTGGAGCAGAGCTCAAGGAACTTGATCCTCCCAAGGGGCTTGGTAAGCAGGTCCGCAAGCTGGTCCTTGGTGTTGATGTAGCTCGCCTTGATGCTCCCTTCCTCCAAGCAGCCTCGGATGAAGTGGTACTTCACCCGGATGTACTTACTCCATTCATGGAACACGGGGTTCTTTGCCAGGGCCAGAGCGGACTTGCTGTCCACTCTGAGCTCCACCGCTCTAGTGTCTCTGCCGAGGAGATCACCAAGCAGTCGAGCGAGCCAGAGCGCCTGAGTCGAAGCGGTGGAGGCCGCTATGTACTCGGACTCGCAGCAGGACAGGGCCACCACCTGCTGCTTGACCGACTGCCAGCTAACGAGGCACTTGCCGAGGAAGAAGAGGATCCCGCTCGTGCTCTTGCTAGTGTCGATGTCGCCGGCGTGGTCGCTGTCGCTGTACCCGACGAAGTGTGCCGCCCCAGGGCACCTAGGGTAGTAGAGGCCGTGGTCGAGAGTCCCCGCAACGTAGCAGATGTTCCTCTTCACAGCCTGCTGGTGCTCCGTCGTCGGTCGCTGCATGAACCGACTAACGTAGCCGACGAAGAATGCCAAGTCCGGCCGTGTGTGGGCGAGGTAGCGAAGGCTCCCCACAAGACGTCGGTACTGCGTAGCGTCCACCTCCTCCGTCGTGTTGTCGCGGCTCAGCTTCAGCCTCTCCTCCATCGGAGTAAGAGCTGGGTTGCAGTCGGTGAGCCCAGCTAGCTCAACGACGCGCTTGGCGTAGGCGGTCTGTCGAAGCGTGATCCCGGAGTCATCCTGGTGCACCTCGATTCCCAGGTAGAAGGAGAGAGGCCCCAGGTCACTTATCTGGAAGGTGGCCTTCATCTCTTCCTTGAATGCCGCTACCTCCACATCCTTGGTGCCGGTGATCACCAAGTCGTCGACGTAGACACCCACCAACAGAGCATTTCCTCCACTACCCCGTCGATAGATGGCCGCCTCGTGCAGGCTTTGCTCGAAGCCCATCCCCTTTAGCATGGAATCCAGCTTGGCATTCCACGCCCTCGGTGCCTGCCGCAAGCCATAGAAGCCATAGAGGGCCTTGCGCAGGTGGAGCACCTTGCCCTCCTTGCCGGGGATCACAAATCCCGGTGGCTGGTGCACGTAGACCTCCTCCTTCAAGTCGCCGTTAAGGAACGCCGACTTTGATGTCCATGTGATGAACACGCCAATCCTCCTGGGCAGCTAGCGCAAGGAGGAGTCGCACGGACTCCATCCGTGCCACAGGAGCAAAGGCGTCGTCGAAGTCGACCCTCTCCTGTTGCACGAAACCTCGTGCCACCAAGCGAGCCTTGTGCTTGACGATGGCACCGGCTTCATCCCTCTTCAGCTTGTACACCCACTTAAGGGTGATCACACGGTGACCACGAGGAAGGTCAGCAAGCTCCCAGGTGCGGTTCTTCTCAACCGCATCCATCTCCAACTGCATCGTGGCGCGCCATGCCGCGTGTCTCTCGGCCTCTACAAACGACCGAGGCTCGACGTCGTCACACGCAAGGTGCAACTGCGCCTCCAGGTCGTGAGGCACCGATCCCGGTATCGGCTGGTCACCGAGAAGGTTCTCCATCGTACGATACCACAATGGCTCGCCATCATGGTACACGTCGACGCGCTCCTCGTCGTGAGAGAGCGGAGTAGCGAGCTCAATCGGGCCGTGCTTGACACGAGCTGGTGGTGGGGTAGACGTGCCTGGAGTGGTGCCTGTCGGTGCTGGAGTGCGTGGCGTTGCCGGCTATGGTGGAGCCGGCGAAGAACTTATCGCAGCCGAGGTCCTGGCTGGAGAGCGTGGTGCTGTCGGAGTAGCAGGCACCGGGGTCGGTGGAGGCTCGGGGACTGGGGTAGACGCGCTCGCCGAAGAAGAGCTGCCTACTCCCCCAGCTACCTCGAAGTGGACGTACTCGACAGTGAAGTCGTCGTACGTCGGAGTCGAGTCGTCGTCCACCGCCTTGTCCCATGCCCATCCTCGCCCTTCGTCGAACACAACGTCGCGCGCCGTGCATACACGCTGTGTCTTTGGGTCGAGGATGCGGTAGGCCTTGGAGCCCTTCGTGTAGCCGATGAACACTCCCAGAGTGCTCCTATCATCGAGCTTGCTGATGTGGCCAAGCTCCTTGATGAACACGAGGCAGCCGAAGACCCACAAGTGGGAGACTGCCGGCTTGCGCCCATGCCAAGCCTCGTACGGCGTCCTGCCGTCGAGCGCCTTGGTAGGCGAGCGGTTGAGGATGTAGACGGCCGACACCACCGCCTCTCCCCAGAAGACAGTCGGCATCCCCTTCTGCTTGAGAAGGGCCCGAGCCATCCCCCTAACTGTCTGGTTGCGCCGCTCGACGACGCCGTTCTGCTGTGGGCTGTACGGTGTAGAGTAGTGGCGCTGAATGCCCTCATCAGTGTAGTACGACGCGAATTCAGCCGCCGTGAATTCACCGTCGTTGTCGGTGCGCAGCACGCGTAGCTTACGGCCGCACTCCGCCTCCGCAGCAGCCTGTGAGCGCCTGATGGCGTCCGCAGCCTCTCCCTTGCTGCCGAGGACCATCACCCACATGTAGCGGGAGAGGTCATCAACGAGCAGCAGGAAGTAGCGTCGTCCTCCCGGTGTGGCCGGTGTCACCAGGCCACACAAGTCCCCGTGCACAAGCTCGAGCCTCTCCTTGGCTCAAAAGCTCGCTCGCTGCGGAAAGGGGAGTCACCTCTGCTTCGTCAACACATAGACGTCGTAGAGCTGCTCCACATGGTCGAAGCACGGTAGGCCTCGCACCATCTCCGTGGCACTGAGCCACTTCAGGGCCTCGAAGTAAAGGTGCCCGAAGCACTCGTGCCACTGCCACGCCTCGTCGTCCCGACGAGCAGCAAGACAGAGGGGTTATGCCACCTTCACGTTAAGGATGTAGAGTCGATTTGCGCTTCTGGATACCTTGGCAAGAAGGCGACGACGACGATCCCAAAACCTCATGACTCCGTCCTCAACCACCACGCGCGAACCGTTCTCATCCAGTTGTCCCAAGCTGATGATGGAGTTCCTCAACGTGGGGATGTAGTAGACTCCGGTGAGCAGCCTGTGCTCACCAGACACGGCGGTGAAGATGACGGAACCGACGCCCTTGATCTCCACGCCGGAGGCATCCCCAAACTTGACGGAGCCTCGGACGCTAGAGTCAAGCTCGGTGAAGAACTCCCGTCAATCGGTCATGTGATGGGTGGCGCCGGTGTCGAGGCACCATCCGTCAGCCTTGTCATTGCCGGAGCTGTCGCCGAGGAGGGCGTGTGCTTTTAGCTCGTTAAGGTGGAGGAGAGCCGCTGTGGCCGGTGCCGCTGGAGGTAGCTCGATGCTTGCATGTGCCATGAACAGAGCCGGCTCCTCCTCCTCTGCCTGTGCGACATGGGCCTGGCCACGTCGTGGCTGTCGACAGTCCTTGGCCCAATGGCCAAGCTGGCCGCAGTTGCGGCGGACGTCGTCTCGTGTCGGCTTGTGCCTGCCGGCGGCGCCGCCCTGGGCGCCTCCGCGGGCATCACCCTCGGCACGTCCTCGCGCCCTGGCCTGGGCATCTCTACGCGCCTTGCGTGGCTTGCCACGCTTGCGACCGCCTGTCGCGGAAGAAGGCTCCCCCTTCTTTTGGTCACCTTGGCTGGTAAGCCACTGCTCTTGAGTGAGAAGGAGCTTCCCGCCAGTGGTGATGGGCCCCGAGAGAGACTGTAGCTCATCGCTGTCGACGACCTTGAGGCGACCTATCGCCTCCTCGATCGACATCGTGGAGAGATCCAGCAGGGACTCGATCGAGCGAGCCATCTGCTTGTACTTCTCGGGGACGCAACAAAAGAGCTTTTCGACAGCTCTCTCCTCGCCGTAAGTGTCATTGCCGAACTGCACCATCTTCTACAACAGAGTATTGAGACGGAGAGCAAAGTCATCAACATCCTCACCTGGCTTGAAGGCCAGGTTCTCCCACTCCTTGCGAAGTGCCTGCAGTGTGGACTTGCGAGCGCGGTCGCTGCCGATGCGTGCCGCAGCGATGGCGTCCCAAGCCTCCTTGGCAGTTCGCTTGTTGGTAAGCAAGAACTGCATCTCAGGTGGGACTGCAGCGATGAGGGCATCCAGCGCCTATCGATCTAGGTCGTAGTCTACGTCGCCGTATCGGACTGCCTCCCACATGTGCCGCACCTAGAGCTTTACCCTCATCACCGCAGCCCACTCGACGTAGTTGGTCTTGGTGAGGGTAGGCCACCCACCGCCGGGACCGATATCCCTGACAACAGCCTAGAACCCGTGGTAACCACGGTACCGATCCGGGGAGAGAGAGCCACGCTGCCTGTGAAGGCTGCGCTCTCCATCAACCCGTCGGTACTGATCCGGGGAGAGAGAGCCACGCTGCCTGTGAAGGCTGCGCTCTCCATCGACCCGTCCGCCACCGTTGCCATGCGCGCCTCCTCCAAGAGTGCTGCCGCCGTGCACGCCTCCACCAGGAGCACCGCTGGCGCGTCCGCACCTGTCTGGGCTGCCGCCGCGCTCGTGGGCGTGCGCGGCTGCCCCAGGAGCGCCACCGCCGTGCGCGCCTCCTCCAGGAGCGCCGCCAACGCGTCCGCACCTGTCTGGACTGCCGCCATGCTCGTGGGCGTGCGCGGCTGCCCACTGCGCCGCCCGTGCTCGCGCTGCCTCCCTCTCTAGCAGCTCGAGGTCCGCGTCGGCGGTGTCGTCAGCGAAAATGGAGCTGCCGATGCTGCCGCACAGAGCCTCGACCTCCGCTGTCGCCGCACGTGCTGCATTCGCCACCGTTGCTTCTTCCACCTCCGCTCTGGCTGCTGCCAGCCTCGACGCCCTTGCCGCCGCCACTCGCTTGCGTTCCTCTGCCACGGCAAGTTCGGCCTCCTGCCGATGCCGCGTGCTCGAGGCGACCGAGCGCTGAGACTGTCCTGTGGACATGACGCGCTACTGGGGGGCTGCTGCGTGGGAAGAGGGCTGCTTCATATGAGCTCGTCTGCGCGGGGGAGGAGTGAGCAGGAGCGGCCGGTGCTGCTGCTCGTAGCTAGGGCTGTTGTGTGGCTGGGAGAGAAGATGAGCAGGAGATGCTCAGGCTACAGGATAGTACGGCTCTGATACCACTTGTTAGTCGTTGAACTCTCACTCTCGGTAGTAGCAGAATTCTTACTCTCATCGAGAGAGGATGACTTTAGGAGTTGGGGTAATTTTCTGGTTTATTTCTCACACAAACTCACACAAATGCCATGCCAACCTGAGGGGCTGGGGATACATATTTATAGGCTGCTAGCCAACCAAGCATATGCCAAGATGTTAGTCTAAGATGCTAATATGCTGTCCTAGCTAAGATGCTGTCCTAATATGCTGTCCTAGCTAAGATGCTATCCTCTAGTCAAGGAGATGCTGTCCTCCAGTCAGTCAAGGAGATGGACAGCCACAAGGACCTCAGAACCACCATATGTCTTTGTGCTTGACCCCACAAAGACCAACCAAAGACACGAGACTTATCCATCAAAATCATCGTGCAATCCACATTCCACAATATAACCCACACACTCACTCTCAATCTATAAATCAAGCAACAGTGATAGATTCAAGGATGGCATACCTTTGCTGGCGCTGATGAAGAAGTAGCCGTCGGGCGTGACAGGGCTGTAGAAGAGGTCCACCACCGGGCGTGAGTGCCCATGGCACACCGTCGGCATCGCCACCTTCTTCTTGTCCATCCCTCCGCCTCTCGCAAATCCTAACCTTAGCTTCAAACCTCACCGCCGCCACCGAGCACAACCTAAAACAGCGCGGCGCACTAGCCCTAGCCCGATTAAAAAAACGGAAAAAAATCAGGGTTAACTTGGGGTCCGTGCCTGATCCGGATCCGTGGTTTGATTTGTTATTTGTACACAGAAATTGTTCCTGGTGTTGATGGTGGGATAATTACAGCGATGGGGGTTGAGACCTACGGATCGGGGATCTAGTATTCTATACTAGTGTGGTATGAAACAGGCGAATAGACGAAGGGATATATATTTTTTAAAACCTCACTCAAATGGCTTTTTTAATAAGCTTTTATATGGAGCGCACGGAGCGGGAGTCGGGCTCGCCACTCCGGTCGCTGGAGAATTTTTATTTTTTAATCTTTTTATTTAATATTTTAATAATAATCACTCCTTAAAAAATTTACGAATTTGACCATTTTAGTCACGCCAGCGTGACCAAATAACGTTGGAGCATCATATGCATTGGCGCGACAATATATGCCACGACGACGTTTACGACTAGGAAAACGCTATCACGCCACTCCTGTTGGCGTGACATTACTGTTCTATCGTGCCACCGGGAGTACCATGGCAAGATAAAACCTTTGAAAAATCATAACTCTTTGATACGACGTAGGATGGAGATGAAATTTATATAAAAATTGTAGCTCTCGATGAGATCTACGACGTTCTAGTTTTGAGTTTTTTCATTTAAGGTCGTTAAGATGCTCAAAAAATAATATTAAATTTCAGAAGTATAATAACCGTGTACAAGTGCTTGTCGCATTAGAAAAATAATATCTTTTTGTATTTTGTCAAATAAAAATATTTTTTACATTGAAATTATAGCTCTCAATGAGATCTACAACTTTGTAGTTTTGAGTTTTTATATTTGAGATCATTAAGATGCATGAAAAAATAATATAAAATTTTAGTGGCATAATAATTACGTACTAGCGTTTGTCGCATTAGAAAAATAATATCGTTTTTGTACGGTGTGAAATGAAGATACATTTTATACCAAAGTTATAGCCCATAGTGAGATCTACAAGTTTATAGTTTTGAGTATTTATATTTGAGGTCGTTAACATACTCTAAAAAATAATATAAAGTTTTTACAGCATATTAATCATGTATCAAAGCTTATCTTTTTAGAAAAATCGTACGTTTCTTATTTGATGTCACATAAAAATACTTTTTAAATAAAAAAAATATAGATCTCACTAAGAGCTCTAACTTTGATATAATAAGTACCTTCATTTAATATGATACCAAAATAATATTATTTTTCTAATGTGATAAGCGCTAGTACGTGATTATTATGCTATTAAAATTTTATATTATTTTTTAACGACTTCAAATGTGAAAACTCAAAACTGTAAAATTGTAGATTTCATGAGAGCTTCAACTTTGATGTAAAAAGTATTTTCATTTGATACCATACGGAAAATATATTATTTGTCTAATACGACAAGCACTAGTACGCGGTTACTATGCTCCTAAAATTTTATATTATTTATTTGAGCATTTAATGTCTTTAAATATAAAAATTCAAAACTACAAAGTTGTAAATCTCATCGAGAGCTACAATTTTCATATAAATTTCATCTTCATCCGACGTCGTATCAAAGAGTTATAATTTTTCAAAGGCTTAGTCTTGTCACGCCACTCCCGCTGGCGCGACAAAATAATACTGTCACGCCAGCGGGAGTGACGTGACAGCATTTTCCACGTCGGAAACACCGTCTAACGTGGCGGATGTTGCCACGCCAATGCATATGGCGCGATAATGTTATTTGACCACGCCAACGGTGCTGGCGCGATCAAAATGGTCAATCCGTAATTTTTTTAGGATCGATTATTATTAAAATATTAAATAAAATAAATTAAAAATAAAAAAAATCTCTTTGCTCTCGTTTATACACATAAATTATTTTCATGTCGACGGACAGAAAGCCTTTTTTTAGCTGTAACTGAAACCGTTTCTAAAGAACATTAAAAAATGTAATTTAAAATTCAAAAAATGTAATTTAATAAACAATTCTTCAATTATTCTTTTACGGGCAAATTCTTCAGTTAATTTATAATAATAGTAGAAAATCAGCAGGTCACTTGATTGTGCACAAGCAGGCGGCAGACGTTCCATTTTGCTCGGCAGGACCTCGCACGGCTTGGTGCAGACCATAAAGGTCACATCCAAACCTAGGCAGTTTTCAGCCCACATGTGCAAAAGAGATATACTCTCTCTGTCCTAATAAAAAATGTTGCAATATAACATAGGTTTCGTGTTGATAAACTCTTTTTAGGTTTGTAAAAAAATATTAGCAATGTTTGTAGCTCTAATAAGTTTATTATAAAACTATGTTTAACGATTAATTTAATGATACTGATTGTAAACTATAAATATTAATATTACTCTGTATATTTAGTTAAAGTTAAAAATATTTGACTTTTCAAAAATTGATAAATGATACTTTCTGTGACACGGAGAGAGTAGAATCTAGACTCAATAGGCCTAAGTATTGTTTACTCCTCACCGAGATGTATAAGTTATTATTACTAAAGAAACTGACCAGGTTGCTATTCCCCTAGGCATGAAAATGATCTTTACTCATAAATGTTAATGTTTATTTTATGGTATTGGTTATGATTTTTTGCACTTCTTAACTAAAAGGTTTATTTCTTCTTGTATTATTTAATCAGAATATATTAAACTTATAGTATAAAAATCATACATTGACATCATATTAGTTTTCTTATGTCCATGCACCAATCAAAACACACCTTCTCTACACTTACCTGGTCAGGCAATATTAACGACTTTCTAAACAACTTCTAGGAAACAATATTTGTGTGGACAGTTTGTCCATACCTCTAACCAAACACACTCGCGAAAGAATATTGTTAGAGAGGGTGAATAACCTAATTAAGAAATCTAGCAAAGGATAACAGTAGGCGAAGAGGGTGAATAAACACTACAAGTAGCTATGTTTTGCAAGTCTAAAGTGATCGAGTGACTCTACATAAATTATTGATCAAGATAAACACTTACTAGGTCATTTTAGATGATAAAACTAGCTTGGTTTGCTTTCTAAGGTGACAAAGCCTTGGAAAACGATCTTTACTCATAAATGTTAATGTTTATTTTATGGTATTGGTTATGATTTTTTGCATTTCTTAACTAAAAGATTTATTTCTTCTTGTATTATTTAATCAGAATATATTAAACTTATAGTAAAAAAATCATACATTGTCATCATATTAGTTTTCTTATGTCCATGCACCAATCAAAACACACCTTCTCTACACTTACCTAGTCAGGCAATATTAACGACTTTCTAAACAACTTCTAGGAAACAATATTTGTGTGGACAGTTTGTCCATACCTCTAACCAAACACACTCGCGAAAGAATATTGCTAGAGAGTGTGAATAACCTAATTAAGAAATCTAGCAAAGCATAACAGTAGGCGAAGAGGGTGAATAAACACTACAAGTAGCTATGTTTTGCAAGTCTAAAGTGATCGAGTGACTCCTACATAAATTACTGATCAAGATAAACACTTACTAGGTCATTTTAGATGATAAAACTAGCTTGGTTTGCTTTCTAAGGTGACAAAGCCTAAAAGGATGGTTGTTATTTAGAGGAAAATAAAAACAAAAAAAGCAAGGTTGCGAGATGAACAATGTGCGCAAGCAAATGGAGTTAGAGCATAAAAAACCACAACATTGGAGTTAGGGCATAAAAAACCACTATATTCAATGGACCCAGTGAAAATGGAAAAGGTGTTTTTTTTTTGTCTTCATACCATATTATATTATAGTATTATAATGTGAAAGAGACTCTAGTCTAGTGGTTTTATATGTTAGTAGCATTTTTAGATTCTAAATTTAATATTGATGGAAGCCAATTTAGACAGTTAGAAAAAACTTCCCTCGCCCATAAAGTTGGAGTTTGTGTTTTTTTCAGCCATTAAATTAAATTGTTCTACCTAAGTATCGAATGCCTTGGAAGGTCATACTCGTTAGTTGTTTTCTTTATTATAACTAGCATACATATATATTTGCATTGTAACAGAATATACAATTTATGTCATGTGTTCTATATATTTTGGAACCAGACTCTATATTGTCCTTGGACTCATGCTATTCTAGGTCCTATAAATATGAGTCATGAGTTCGGGACACAGACTATACCCTAAACCAATTAAGACTCTTATCTCAAATTAATCAGGTACTAAACCATAAAATTGGGTAGGACTCGTATGCTTGAGGGAGTGGAGGAACTGACATGCGATAGACTAGACAGAGTTATAGAGAAAATTTAATATTTTTCATATCTATATTTATATACCTAATATTAAAACATGAAATTGGTTTCGTCCTTCGTCTGTCGGTCTATGGTTTTCGAATGGTCTATGCTTTCCGATTTCTTTTTGTTTTCCGACATTATTTCCAATAGCAAAAGCTTGGCTTTTGTTTTCTGGTTTTTTCCCACCGGTTGGATTTTCTGTTTTGACCTTTCTCAAGAATATAATTTCCACTAGCACGTTAAGAGCAATTATAAGAGACTCTCTATGTCTTCTTATTGATTAGGAATAGAAATTTTGGTGAAAAACTCCAACTTTTTTAACTGAATATCAAATATAACCATCCTCTTTTGGCTTTCTTGCTAGTTAATGGTAGAAGACAAGGCTAGCTCTCTAAAGTGTGGACAAGATAAAAAAAACTTTTGGATGGTAGAAAGTTATAGAAAACGGTTTTTACTCAAATGACTCTCTAAATGGTGATTTAGAGAATGAATTTTAGAAAAGACTATTAAAGATGCTCTAAGGAAGTGAAAGTTTTTTTAAAATTTTGGTCCAACACACTCTACTTTTGAAAGCGTAAGCGTTCTGGCCGGTTATAGGCATCCTCTTTTGGATTCTTGCTAGGCAATGATAGAAAACGAGGCTAGCTCTCTAGAGTGTG